AAAAAAAAAAAAAAATTCTGGGAGTGATGAGTAAGGAAATGGACAGGACATTCCCTTGACTGGCTTAAATGTGTAGATCTCCCAAAGGATATCTCCACATGCTAACACCCCAACCAGGTAGGTACCACGAACATCACACATGCACACAAAGTTGTGTCCCGTGGTCATTTCCAGAGAAACTGAGCAATCATTGTAATGTTGTGGACCATGAATATCTCTTTGACTATTGTCCCTTTCATTTGTTAGCTGTTCCTTCCTTCTTTCCATCCTTCCTTCGTTCCTTCGTTCGTTCATTCGTTCATTCCTTCCTTCCTACCTACCTGGTTGGGGTGTTAGCTAAAATTCAGATTTGTGTGACCCAACTCAAACCTACTGAATCAAAATCTCTGGAAGAGTGGAACAGGAGTCAGCATTTTAAAGAGTCCCCCAGGATATTCACTGTGAGCAATGGAGTTGGGTGATCAATTCCCTAGAGGATCAACTATCTAAAGGGGAAGATAGACAATGGTGATTTGTGACCTACTAAATGTGCAGCAGATGCTTACATATAAATTTAAGATTCTAAGGTGTTCCTCTTAAAAAATCAAGTGGTTTTCATTTAGGAAAAGAGGTATTTTTCTCACCTAATTAACCAGATCTGAGAAAAATCTCAGAGCCGCTATACTCTTTGGTTAATAGAAGAGAGTTAGTCGTGTGTGATGTGTAATCTTATATCTCTTCTCCTTTATTTCTTGGATTCAAACACTTTACTATTTGTCCCTTCGGGAAACAAACTTAACAAAAATAATTTCTGTATTAATTGGAATTAATTGGACTATCTCTAAGAAGTAATCTTTTAAAACACCAAATGAAATCATTTTGGAAAAGTATCATGGATTGCTAAAATAAGGCAGGAGTAAAGATTTTTCAGAATTTTTCCTGATCATGTTCTCACAGTATTTACAAGTTAGGTATGAAAATTATATTAAAAGGATTTTAGTACTTTTTAAGTGTGCTTTGTTTTTTCTATTTAGAGGAAAGGTACTGCCAGCTAGACTTGTAACAGAACAAAGGAGATTTGTGAGACATGAGTAGACAAGCTTTGTATAAACCTTACCAAACAAAATTAGATTTAGAGAAGGTATTTAGGTACATGAATTAAACATCTCCAATGTTTCTTTCTATAATTACATTCCAGCTAGAAAATTACCTAAGTATGTAGAAAATATACTCCTAAAATATAGATTCTGTTGTAGCTAGAAGAGAAATAAGAACAAAGATGGGAAAGGGGGCAAAGAAGGTAATGGTCAAAGAGCAAAAGCAAAAATAAAACCAGGAAAATATGCCTCTTGGAGGCTGACATACTTCTAGGTTGAGAGGAAGATGCTAAAGATCAAGGAGAGAGAAAGTGACTGGGGCGAGGATTGGCTCGAGGGTACCACCATAACGGGGGTGGAACTTGGGCAAGAAGACACAAAGTAGGTATGGATATAGAAAAGATGGTGGTAATAGAGAGATGGAGAAACCAGGGAGATGAAGCCTCATGATTTCCATGTTTGGATGGTACCCTGCTTAAGGAAGAGGATGGAATTTAGGGGGTGTAAGGAAAGTGCAACAGATTTGACTAGTTATTAAGAGAAATGGGCAACTGATCTTGGAAGATAAGCAGGGTCGGGCCTGGTTAGCACTTGGATGGGAGACAGCCTAGGAAGACCAGGTGCTGTAGGCATAAAAAAAAAAAAAAGAAGAGAGAAGGGAAGAGAGAGAAGGGAAGAGAAGTGATTAAATATAAATGGAACAATTGGTAATTGTTTTTAAAGATTGATTATATTTCTTTGATCTATCAAAACCTTTATTCAGTTAGAGGAAAAAAATAGATTTATAATTACATCTATATGTTATTTGTAGAAGATTTAAAAACATTTCTTTGGTATAGCATTTTATACTCAGTTGTTGTTTTTTTATTTGGATTAAGGGCATTTTTAAAAGACTGAATTATCTAATATAGATGTTAAATGAGAGTAAAGGAAATGTAACTCATACAATCTGGGAAAAATATTCTGTCCTCGAATATCCATGAAAAGTAGATCTGAGCAGAGAAATGCTGTCACCACAAAGGAGTTCCTGGGCTAGATGAAAATTGACTGCAACCAAATGAAGGTGTTAACCTACTTAAAGAAAAAAGTTTTACTCTGAAGGACCAATTAAAATTGGTCTTGAAACAAAGAAAAGGAATAGGTCATTTTAGTCGTTCTTTAGCATGGTGTGCCCAAGGCTGGCCTGGGCTCTGCTAACTAGCAGCAGTAGGAGCAGTAGTAGTTGTGGAGATGGTCATATCAAAATAATTTGAACTCTGTGCCCCTAAACTGGTTTATTTCTAGGCACTTCGTATTTGCAATTAAGGGTGTAGGTGCCACGCAGGCATCAATTCTCTTTGGTGCTCATACCTCTTACAGTATTTCTCCTCATCCCGTTACTGCCCTCACATTCTATTTCTGCTCCTCAGTTGCCCATTTCCCAAGGTTATTTGTCAGAAGTGTGTACTTAGTTTGTCTTAATTGATGGTTTAGAGTGAAAAAGTTTAGTAATAATAACAGAAATGCAAACCTTTTTACAATGAGGTCACATTAACAAGAACAATTTCCTTACTGTTAATTTTTATCATTGTGATCTGAGTACTTGCTCCTTAAAGCAAGATTTGCTGCTGCCTCATCTTTCCTGAGGCCTCAAGAGGAAACTGTCACAATATTTTCAGAAAATGTCCCATGTGCATAGCGACATTTTTAAAAACATTTTGAATAGCTAGACACCTTCTACTCATATGCCTAAATTTTGTTTCCTGTAGGGTCCAACTTTCCATGCCTTCTAAGTGACCAATAGCTAATAGAGAACATTTACTTGTGAAAACATAAGAATCCCTCTCCCCATCCAAGCAGCTCCGAGAATTACAGTATCTTTTAGAAGAGAAGCAACAACCAGGTTGTCTAACCGGGAGCAGTGGTACAGTTTTGAGGATTCTAGGTCAAGACAGGTATGATAAGTCTAAATCACTGAGGATACTGGGTATATCTGTTATTATTGATTGTGTTCAGCTGCAAGTAACAGAGACCCAACCACAGAAATTTCATCAAATAAATTCACAGGAATTTATTTTTGCCTAGGTAGCAAGGAGCCTGAGGGTCATTCAGGACTCAAAAATTCATCATGGTTGCTTCTAGCTTCTTGCTCTGCTGTCTTTACTTAGTATGTGGTTCCCCTCTAAAAAGAAGGATAGGGAAAAACAAAAGGATTACTGAGTCTGTCCTCTTATTAATTAGAAAAATAATAGCTTTTCCAGAAGTCCTACCCAGTAGACTTTCAGTTTCACTGGCCAGAACTAGGTCACATGCCACTCTTAGCTACCAGGGATTCTGGAGAGTGAGTTTATTTTACTGGGCACATTGTGGTTTGGACAAAATTGGAGTTTTAGTTGGCATGGAAGAAGCTCAGAGCATAGGCAGTGAGCGGCGGGATCTGCCCTGAGGAGCCAGCCAGTCACATGACATCTTTCGAGTCCAGTTTTAGGTGATTGATTGCCTGAGTGCCTTCTAAATCTCAACAGCATTGCAGTTATATTTTTGTGATGAAGTAAAGTTGTGTCCTTGCATCGTGTCTAGGAGTGGAGGTGGTGACATGGTGGGTGGTGCCTTTCCATTCCTATGAAGAGCAGTCACTGCTTCTTGGCCTTTCACAAAAAGAACTTTTGACTTATAATATGCTGAATGCAAATGGCACGATAGGATCATTTCTCCCAAAATGCTTTGGCTTATCAATATGATGAAGCCAGTGGGCCCCAAAGATGACCACAGACAGAAATCCCTCCGAGCTGGATTATCCGACCCCTTAATTTGCCCCACTTTCTGTTTCTTTTATACTCAAAAGAAGAGAGATTTTTCTTCTCAAGATTATTCCCTTGGACTTGGGACCTTTTCTCTATTTTTTCATTTTAAGTGTAGCTCTTGCTTCACCTTGTCTGGTTTATTTCAGCTCTCGGTTAAATTATATCTCTAATCTTTCCTCCTGGGAAAACAACTGAGGTACACCGGACTTAAGAGCCAGTGTCACTATACACATATTTGAGTGCCTGTAAAACCCTAAATGGTCTCTTTTTCATGTTTTTAGTTTCATTTCTTATTCTAGTGCTCTAAGAGAGCTTCAAACTAAAGAGATGTGAACAAGTTATAAAGAATATGACTCCCTTCAGCCTCAGGGTGGGGATCAGAACCTGGGCAGCCAGAACATCCCTGCCTGCCATCGGAAGTTGTAAGCGTCTCTTCCATTTACCCCGGTATGCCTACAAATATTACGATTTTCTCTGTGCCATGAGGTTGGAAAGCTTGGAAAGTGATACTTTCAGGCCTATTCTTCAGATCTGTCCTGTCTCTCCAGACAAAAGCCTAAACTTGCCTCTTTCCTTGTCTTGTATTAGCTCAAGGTCTAGTGCCTTAGGCATTTTGTAAAGATTTTCCTAGCAGACCTGATGACTTGATTGGTATCTTCAGGACATTGTTCATGGCAAACCTGGACTATGTCTTGACTCAGTTTCATAGCTTAATGTCCCGTTTTGTCATCCTATCTTCTTTCTTATTTTATCCCAGCTTCACTATTCTTTTCCTTTTCATCAAGGATTTTATAGATGGGAGTTCAACCCCTTTCTTATAATATCAGCCCATCACTGAAGCTGCAGCAGCTGTACCCATGGTTCTTTGCGGTTTTATCTTTTGGCAACATCGGCCAATCTGGCCAAGCCCAGATGCTATCTTTCCACCCCACACCCTATCCTTCTCCCCAATTCTCCCATATAAATGCAAATATAGAAATTCAGGGTAATAATCTACTGGGAAGGTAGTCATTAATAATAGTGTTTATTAATATTTTCCTTTTATCTTTTTTTGCATTTATTTTAGAACTGTATCTTTGAGCTAAGGACGAACAAAGAGATTATAATTAAGCTGAAAAGTGTTTCTTTGTTTGTTTTTCAGATGAGAATTCTCCAGCCAACTTCTGGGATTCTAAAAATAGGGGTGTGACTGGAACACAAAAAGGGCAAATTGTATGGAGAATTGAGCCTGGGCCTTATTTCATGGAACGTAAGTAACTAAGTGTGAAATATAAGTTTGTTACTGAACATTCCATAAATACATAAAAATCTATGGAGTCTTTTCTGAATGTTATTTTAAAAGTTTTTGGCTTTGATTTACATATTTATGCCATGTGGCCCCAAACTGGAAAATATATTGTTTTAGAAAATGCTCATATATTACATATACATTATGAATTTATGATATATAAATTATGTATGATTATATTAATACTTTGCATATTTTTGTATAGCCTTATATCTACATTTGTAGTTAATATGTAATTATATTAATTTTAGGGAGCAGGAAAAATAATTCAAGATTGAAGCTAAATTTAAGAATTTAACTTAACTTAAAAATTTTATTTGGTAACTTTGCTATTATTTTTCTCAGTAGCAGAATAACTTTAGTATTTGGATCCTGGCCTTTACAAGTATAGATAAGATAGTCTTGGGTTGCCATAGAGGTCAGTTTACTAGGAAAGGGAAATGGGCTTCAGATAATTCAACAATTATGCATTTGATCTGATGTTACATTTATTTGTAAATATGAACTCATATATAGTACATGGTTCACAGAAATATCTCATCCCTTTTTATTTTGGATAAAGGGAGCATTTATATTTGCCACTAATATTATCGAGAATATAATAAATACACTTTTGTGAAGTAATTAGCAGCATGAATAAATAAGTGATTTACTGGTTGGTCCAGGTTAACTGCTACATTCATTGAATTTTTCTTTAATGTAGAAAAAATTTAGGCTCTTTAAAAATTTTCTGAGTTGTTTAGCTCTGTGTAAGAATTAAGTTTTATATGCAGGATATTTAATGTTAGAGAGAATGTGTGGATACCAAGGATGGTACTTACTAAACCTTAAAATAAAAGGTTAGGTTTGATCAAATAGAAACCTGTTGTAAGCATATCTTCATGGAAGCATATAAAACTTATATAATATAAAAAGTTATTTTAAAAAATTAACATCTATTACTTTGTATGGTCATTAAAGGCATCAGATAATTTCTTCCACATTTTTCTGATAGGTCAGCATTCTAGAGCTTTATCCTGTTTCTGCCCCCTAAGGAATATCTTCTTTTCATAGTTCAATTCCTTGCTAGATTCTTTCTTTAAACCTTAAATGGAATGTAATTTTTAAGAGAAAATGCTCATGGAATGTCAATAAGTGATAAGGAGAAAGCAGTTATACACAGCACAATTCCAACTAAAATCATAGCATATAGGGGGAAAAAAAAAGGAAGGATATTATCCAAAATGTGAACAAGGGTTGTTTCTAGGGGCGAGATTTCAAGTGGTTTGTTTTTTCTTGCCTTTTTCTACTTTTCTTTAGTTTCCAGCATTGGCCCAGCAGTCATAACTATCTAAGTTATGAGAAAATAAGTGATAAAAGAATATGGGGGAAAATTGAATAGGAAATGGCCAGGTTTACTCTCAGTGTGATTCCTCCTTTGAAAGGATCCCAGGGTTTAAGAGGTTGATCTAGCAGAGAAATATTGCCAACTGAACTTCAGAGGGAGAGATAAAACAACCTTCCTATTCGCTCCCAAATGCTGAAGACTGCTAGGAAGGATTGCCTCTTGATAGAGTGTGCAGATTCATATTATGAGGCTCATATAATCACCTGGGAAGAAGTCAGTATCATATGCTGCTATAATCTGGAACATTATGTGTGGGGGAAAAAAAACAAAAAACAAAAAACATTTACAGAGTATTTCATTTGCCACAGTTGATTTTCTTTCTCCCCTCAAAAGTGTTAGATGTTTGTAACGTCCTGGCTGATTAGAGTATAGAAACTATCACTGTCTCAACAAATGTTTTTCTTTACCACTCACTCTAGTATTTAATAGAAATGGGCTTGACGTTGAAGCTAGGAATTGGAAATGAAGAAAAAAGTAGGGTTTCCTTTTCTTTTCTCCTCTAATTTAGCATTTCCACCTTAATTCTTCCTTAACAAAATTAGAGGTATCGTGTTACATGATTTCAAAACTAGAAATATTTAGTAATGTATTTTTTTAGGGACTGAGAAAATTTGTAAAAGTCAATGTCCTAGATAGTGAATAGGAATTATAGAAAGATTTGGCTTTATAAAATATTTATCTTCATTAATCGGAATGAGGCCTCCCCCAACATACATCTCTATCCTTTCAACGTCCATTCAATGGAAAAACCTCAGGTGGTATTTATATCAGTGCTTAGAAGTATATATAGTCCATGTTTTTTTAGACATCTTTTTTTTTTTTTTTTTTTAACCCCATGTCTGTTTAGAGCAGATCTAAGGGGACTTCACAGCATAATGAAATTTTGCTTGATTCTCTGAGCTTATGGTGTGGAACTTTAAAAAAAATGAGAGGTCGGGTGGGGTAAGTTAGACAGCATCTATATTTATGTCTGTCATCTATATTTATATCTGTCAGCTCTGCATTGTTTTTGGTGTCCATAAAATCTGCTTTGCACAATTCAGAATAAGTTTATTTTATAGTTTTGGGGGTTCTAATTTGTCACAGGGATTGAAGATTTTTGTTATAGTAAGGAATGAAATAACCCCCAAAATGAGTCAGCTAGCAAAGTTGGCCTCGCTATCAATATCCTACAAATAAAAATAAGCAGTCATTTTTTCTCTCATAGTCTGTTACTTAGTTGACTATTTAGAACCTTAGAAAAGAAGAAATGGCATCCTAACTTGAAAGAGTCCAGGGAAGATGTCTTATTGAAAATGAGCTCCTCCTCCTTAACCATTGATTTGATCTTTGAGGCACCGTTAAAAGCAGATTCACAGACTGCTCATCTCCAGCATTTAGAATGTGATACTAACAAACTCATGCCCACAGAACTCCACATTCATGCTCATCACTGAGCTTGTTCTGCTTTGACAGGCCTTGTGAATGTTCTTGCAGAAAACGTGCTATTGGTCTTGGAAGAAAGCAATTGGAAAAGTAAGGTTTACTCATATCTACACAGCTATGGCTATTTCAGTAGTAATTAAAGACCTGTGTTAGTATTCAGGAAAGTCATTAATGGAGTATTCTCAGGGAAACGAAGTAATTGTAAAGCTAGAATTCCCGCATAGGTCATCTTGCTCTTCTTCAAATGCAGTGTGCTAATAATTCCTGCCTCCCTGCTTTTGCCACTCATTGCTCTAACCTCTCTCTACCCCCATCTCTCTCATCTGTAGGTTTGAGTCCTGACCTGTTTGTTTGTGAGGCTTTCTGACTCTGCCGTGTCCTCACCCATCTTCTCTGTGGTCTCCACAGCCTTCTACCTTTCCTTTTTAGTGTTTGTCTTCGGTATTTTGTCAGTCCTGTGATTCTCATCTCAACAGCTACACTATAAATCACCTGCTACTCCAGAAATCTTTCTTTGATTCCCTCACACTGTCTGGCATAGTGTTGGTCATGTGTGTTGTGGTGCATACATGGTAAAAATCTTTTGCCTGATGTTGCTAACTAAATTTTGAATCACTGCTTAGTGATTAACATACATAATGGAAAGACTCAATATTTTACCTCATGACAGACTTTTTTTAGTGTTTCATTATTGATAAGAAATGTGTAACAATAAAAATCCCTAAAAAAGGATTTTTTTCATCATTATCTTTTTCTTTTAAAATAGGAGAACTAAATACACTGTAGGAGGTTGTTTGGTACAATCAGTGGAAGATTAACTTCTTTGGGAAAATATAGTGACTTTAATAATCCAGGTGATTCTCATAGGCTAGGACTCCCTGGGGCTGCCCCTGAGTGTCATTGCCTATATTGAATGACACTTTGGGAAAAAAACATTTTGTAGTGGCACTTCAGTGTCTCAGACGCTCTCTATATAGAGAAATTCCAGTGTCCATGTGTTTTATCTTTGGCACATTCTGGCTTCATTGCCTTTGAACCTGTAGTTACTTTTCAAAATCAACAACTGACATTCGTATTGCTTTTTATCAAGTTCAAATTATACACACACACACTATACATGTATAACATACATAAAATACAAACATATAATATACACAAAAATACATATCTACAGATTTGTGTGTATTTTGGTATGTATATGTGTGTGTATCTACAGGATATATATCCATGTATATCTATATCTATCTATATCTATATCTATCTATCCCTACACCCACACCTACACCTGCACCTACACCTTTACCTATATCTATCCATCTATCCACATACTGGTATAAATATACCAATAGTTCCTAAATTTGATCTCTGTCTAGTGGCTGCATTTGTCACTTGGAAATTTAAAATAATGTAGACCCTATCACTGCATAGTCTATGACAGTATTTTATCATACTTGTTAAGCTGCTACTTCCACAGACAGCTACAACCTACATCCATTGTAGGGGTTAGGAGTGAAGGTTTTGGAATTGAACAGATTGAGTTTGAGTCCTGACTCTGTCATTTCCTGTTTGTTTGAACTTCTGCAATCTTCAGCACTTAATTTGCAACATGGGGACAGGAATTTCTGCCTCTCAAAGTTGGTGTGAAGGTTAAATAACAACATGAGCCGAGACATAGCACTGTGTCTGGTACATTGTGGAGCACCTCAGTAAATCATGGCTAGTCTTACTCATTTCTACACTATTTAAATTTTGGCATGTTGTTTTTGTGCATTATTTTTCTAATATATTTGGGATCATTCTTAGGACATTCCAGAGACGTATATAAAATGAAATAGGAAATGGCATGATCAATCTGTTGTTTCTGATCGGAAAAGAAGGGATAGTTTAAAGAGCCATCCATGAGCGGGATTTTCTGAGAGGTGGCGTGGCCAGTTTCTTCAGTTTATTCCTAAATGACTTGTTTCTATGTTTAAATTATTGTTTTTCTCCACT